ATCAGGTATAATAGTTAAATGAACCGCCTAAACGTCACGTTAGTGTAGCCTATATAATGTGTAAAGTTTAGTATACTCTAATCCCTTTATAGTGATGGCACACGACCAGACACACATTCGGCATGTAATGCTGTTTGAGTACAAGAAGGGAAAGAACGCCTCTGTAGCCACAAATAATATCAAAGAAGTTTATGGAAATATTTTGAACGTTCGTAAGTGTCAACGATGGTTAGCACATTTCGTTCAGGTGACTTTAGCCTTAAAAACTGTGATGGTAGGAGCTGACATGTTTGAATTGATATTGATGCTCTGAAGACGCTTGTTGAGTCTAACCCAAGGCAACACACTCGTGAAATGGCCCTGAAATTACATTTCTCTCATGAAACAATACGTATATATTTAAGGAATATGGGAAAACTCCTCTCGAACTCTTCGATGATCATCGCTTCCAACGTGTGAACGTTGCTTCGTCTCTTCTGGCGCGTAATGCACGTGAACCATATTTGGACAGAAATGTCACCGGTGATGGAAAAATGGATTCGCTATGTGAATATTTAACGCCAAAAACAATAGCTCAGTCCTAAATAAAAATCACTTCCGACCCCAAAACCTGGACTCCATCCGCAGACAGTGATGCTCTGCATTTGGTGGAACATCAAAGGAGTGATTTATTTCGAACTCCTCAATCGACAGCGAACTCTCAGTGCAGATATCTGTAGTCAGCAACTGGACCGTTTTAATCAAGCCCTTCATCAGAAACGCCCTTCACTCGTCAATCGGAAAGTTGTTTTTCTTCTTCACGACAATGCACATCCACATGTGGCACGTTTGACGCTACACAGTATTATGGAGTTAGGTTGAGAAGTTCTCCCCCACCCACCATATTCTTCAGATATGGCACCATTATATTACCATCTTTTTCGTTCGCTGCAACACCATCTTAATGGGGAAATATGCAAATGTAGAAGGTGTTAAAGTGGACATCGAAATGTTTTTTGCTTCAAAGCCAAATGATTTCTTTAATCAGAGCAATAATAACCTGATTGTAAGATGCAAAAGCATCATCGATAAGAATGTATACTATTTCATTTAATAAATGCTTTGTGTTAGTATATAAGTTGTTCGGGTGTTTTTCATTTAAAAAAGCGACATTAATTTCTTGACGCTCTAATACGTCTTTTACAATAAGATCAGATTTGTACAATAATAGGATTCCTCTGTTGTTTATTCTGTCTTTTCTTATTGTTATATTATCCATTGAGTCTAAATCTATGGTTTACATATATATACAGGTTTCACTTAGTACACACATATCAGGTTTAACTATGTTTGTAATATCTTCAATCTCATGTTTTTTGCAAGTAAGTACACCTTGGATATTGATATATAAAACTGTGAATTGAAGTGAGTAGGCATCCTGTGGTTGATTGGATTATCTGTGGTATGTATGGTGTGATGTGTTTTTTGGCCATTTGTATTATAAGTTCGAGGCAATCTTTGGTCTGTATTGGTTGTGAATATTCTTCGATGAAGTCTGTGAATATATTTTTCATGATGTTCATGAATATGCGGGTTTTATCGCTTTTATTAGTTTCTGTTGTTGTATCTTTGTTTATGTTTCAGTTGTTTGTGCGTTTTGTTGTTGTACTTGTAATTCATTATCAGTTGTTGTTATAAGTGTCTGTGCATGTGTTACTGTATTTTGTTTAGGTGTTGTTTTTGTTGTTGGATGGCGGTGTTTATTTTTTCGGTACTCTTTTCTGTCGGGTTTTTAATGTCGTATACGCGTTGTTTTATCTGTTTATACTTCTCACAGCCTTTGTAGTTCGCTGTGTGGTTTTATCCGCAATTAAAGCATTTTTTTTATGGTTTGTCTTTTGTGCACTGTGTTGCGTGATGTTCTTCACCACATCTGACGCACCCTGGTGCTGCCAGACATGCTGCAAAGACATGTCTAAATCTTTGGCAGTGGAAGCATTGTGTGACTACAGTTGCTGTTGTTTTTGTTTGTTCAACTTGGTATCTTTGATACCATAGTATTAATCAGCCGTTAATAATATTTAGTGCATTGTATGTGTTGTCTGTGTCTACTCTTACAAAGTTTGTGGGGTTTTGTATGAGTTTCAGATTATTCTTTTTATTTTTGTGAATGGAATATTTTGTTCTGCTAGAGCTTCCTATATTTGGTCATTGTTAATGGAGTAATGTACTCCCCCATATTACAAAGGGTTTGGGCTAGGGTTTACTTCCGGGTAGGTGAAGTATGGTTGGACCTGTTCCAAAGGCGTCGTTTGGCCATTCTTTCAGCAGCCTGTTTAGGTGAGCGACCTCTTATCCTCGTAAAAGGACGCCGCCCCTAGACATACGCTTCATATTGACTATTGCTGCATTTGGTTTACACGAAAATAGGAGTGATCCATAAAGGCTACGCACGTGACACCATTATTACAATTTACAAAACTTTCATCAGACCACTAGTAGAATATGGATGCATGTAATATGTTTAACAACTTAATCAGGAAACTCGAATTTCTGCAGTGTAATGTTATCCGTTTAGCCCTGCGCCTACCCAAGTGTACCCCACCCAATTTATCTGGACACCCTAAATATTATGCTTAGCCTTCAAAACCGTATTCGTAAACTAACCAAAAATTACTATCACACTGCTAACACAAGAACTTCTTTAACTAAGCAATTTTCAACATTAGCAGCAACACCCGTAACATGGCACAACCACCTGTCTCCTCATTATATTTGTAATAATCAACATGGAGTGTAATAATCATATATATATCTGACTTCTTCTTTCACTCAACAGCTCAGGCACTACCCGGATAGAATTATTCGGCGTCGGGTAGTGAAAGTGGGTTTTTCTCGGGATACTCCCATTTTCCTCCCACATCAAAATTCTGGGTATTGGATCTATAGATCCCCACCCGTTGGTTTTGTGTGCTACTCCCACTCCTGTGCCGCCTTCGGTTCTCTTGCCTTTGCTTGCTCGACAACAGATGGCATATCTAATCAGTATCAAGTAGTAGTAGTAGTTTTTTTTTGTTCTGTTTTCACGTAGTCGTTCCAATTCTTTATATCATGAATGGGGATAAAAAGATAAAAGTTTTCTGAACCTCCCCGATTGTGTTTAGTCCTAAACTGTTAGTTTATGGTTAAACGTTTTAAATCACATTTACTTTCACTATTTTGGCTTTGGCTTTGGTTTACACCTCTTAATTTATAAAGCTAGTTGAGGTTGTTTAGAGCTTCCTGGTATTCCTTCTATGGTTATTAAGTATTTTGGTGTTGTTGTTTTAGTTGTTGTATTTGTGCTAGTTGATTCTTTAGTTTCTTTGTTTTTGTGTGTGTAGTATTTTTTTTTTGTCTTTTTGATGTTACCAGGGTAAGCCCCTCTTGATTTGTATCTTCTTCGTCAGAGTGTTGTTTTGTGTTTGTTTCTGTTTCATTTATAGTTATTATATCAACATCCAAGGTTATATCTGTGTTAGTTTGTTTAATACTTTCAATTTCTCCGCGGGGTTCAGTGTGAGCTGTTTCTCCTGACTCTGTATCGTTGTTTGCATTTTCTGCTTTTGTGTTTTGCTTCAGAACACAGTATTTTAATTTGGGCTAAGCAGTGGTTCGTCTACTACTGGGTTTTCTAAAGGGCTACCTAAGAAACTAGACTTACTCTTTTTTTCGTTGCTGTTGTTTCTGGTGCCGTAGTTTCTTGTTGTAGTTCTTGGGTTGATGCCATTTTCTAATTTGCATAGTGAAGTGGCACTTCAGGAAGTGTCGTTTCAAACTCATGCAGTCGGTCTTTTTTTTTTGGCCGGTTGGGTCTACTTGAAGTTCTCAGCTTAGTCGTAGAGTGCGGTGTTCTTTGGAAGTTTTGTTTTTAATTCGTCTCAGGGTTTGGCCGGTGAGAGAATCGCACGGGTGGTGATGGTCTCTTTTAAACCGGCGCAGATCATGAAGGGAAGGTAGGTAGGTGGTCGTCGGTGTATTTTACGAGATATTTCGGCCTTCTTTAAAAACACGTCTACTCTCTACCATTAAACAAACCGATCTTCTCTTCCCGTTAAAGGTCCGAGGTGCGCGTTTGTTCATTTTGAATTTCGCGCAAAGCTACACGAGGGCTATATGCGTTAGCCGTCCCTAATCTAGCAGTGAAAGACTAGAGGGAAGGCAGCTAGTTACTACCACCCACCGCCAACTTTTGTGCCACTCTTTTACCAACGAATAGTGGGATTAACCGTCACAAAAAAACCCACAAAGCTGAAAGGGCGAGCATGTTTGGTGGACGGGGATTCGAACCCGCGACCCTCAGATTGCGAGTCGAACGCCCTAACCATCTGGCCATGCCGGGCCCGAGGTGCATGTATTGTCATTATTAACTCCAAGATATCTGTATGTTTTTCTCTCTTTTTTTTCCATCTCCGTTTCTCGATTATATATATATATATATACTCATGCGCATGAGTAGCTGTCATGATTGAAAATTCCAATTTTGATATAACATTTAAGATATTTCCCTGGTGGCTTTATAGTTTTTTGAAAATGTGTGATTTGGTATACTATCAATATTAAAATTATATATAGAAACTGGTCATGTTTTACTTCCACGGGATAAGTTAATCCTAGTGTAAAAGCTGTGTTGTTTAAGTAGTTATTATATGTTTATAAGAGTTGTTCTTCTTTAATTTTAGGTGGCTCAGTGTTTCATCTAATGACTACTGTGTATGGATGACAGGGTGCGCCACGTTACAGAACAAATATGGTTAGCTGGAAAAAAAAGATCGAGAAGGGTAAATGATTTTGTTTTTAACCTCCGGGTACAAGCCAGGAAGGTGCTAAACATTTATTATTCAATTATTGTGAAAGTTGTTATTTATTTTTGTGAAATATGCTCTTAATTATTACACTGTAATTAGTGTAATAATAATTATTTATTATGATAGAGGTTATTCAGATTTACTCCCCAGTGGTATAGCGATAAGTCTGAAAGCTTAAAACACTTAAAACCGAGTTTCTATACCCGTGAAGGATACGACACAGATAGCCAATTGAATAGCTTTATGCTTATTTACAAACAATCAAATTTATTCACATTTATGAATGTATTATATATTTTAACGCGTAAAATAAATTAAAATATAGTAATTATATTTCACAGATAGAATGCTATTGTCTTTTTGTTTTTTAATTAAGGGCTAACTATAATACTTTGGCATGAAAGCAACGTAAAAACTGCAAGGCCATTTTGATGTTCTTTCTTAATACCTGTTGTAATATAACATTTAAAAGGATATGTTTAACTATTAAACTATTGAGAGTACGTTTAGATAACTCTGAAACATTCTACTGGAGCATAAAATCTGTTGAATTGTGAACTGCATGTACTTTAGCTACACATTTTTCCGTATCTTAATATGCTAACATTTAAAAACAAACAAAAAATCTTATAAAGGGTGGGTATATCAAAACATGTTTATTTTATCTGACTCAACGTTTCATTTCTACTGGTAGGTAGGCGTGACCCCAGTGGTTAGCATGTCGGGTTGTTTAGAGGCGGTTTGTTTGTAGTTAAGCACAAAGATACACAATGGGCTATCTGTGCTTTGCCCACTACGGGTATCGAAACCTGGTTTCTAGCGTTGTAAATCCGCAGACATTCCCCTGTGCCACAGGGAGGCTTTTAGAGGAAGTAAAGTAACAGATGTTTCACCCGTCAGTCCTCGTAAATAATGGTTTGCAATCAATGAAAGTTAAAACATTTTTTGCAAAGGTCATAATTTCATATTTCAATGTGAAATTTGTATTATTTTAAAGATGCATCCTTTTTTTAGCTCTGCAACATATATATATTACTCTGTACCTCTTAATTAAATCACGTTTCTCTGCCTTAATTTTGAGATTTTATTATACTGTTTACGGAATTTCTTTAATTTCTCCATTTTACATAATTTACATCATTGTATTGTCTTATGATTCGAAGGGTGTAACAGAATTCTAATATGCACGTTATCTTTTCTGTATCTTATGTTTTAGAATTATGTTAACTGGCTAAAATAATACTTTATCTGTAACTTACAATATAAAAACAACGAAACTGTATCTCGTCTATTATGAATTTTGCCACGTTTTCTCCCATGTTATTTGCCTTACAGAGAATTTCACTAAGAATTTACGTAAGTCAAAAGTAATTACTGTTTGCAAATAGAACAATTTAATATTGATCCAAAACTCATTAAAATCATGGAGGTATGTGGGTCACATACATACATACATACATACATATATATATATATATATATATATATAGAGAGAGAGAGAGAGAGAGAGAGTTACTTACAATAACCAACGCCCTGGGTGGGGCTATAAACATGTAATAAATTAGGTGTTATTCTTCCAACAGTATTATGTAGCAAATGCTTTACATCTAATAATTTATTTTATATAGGACTCAAGAATGATCTCTTGGCAAGAGTAAATTTCAATTCCTTTTCACTAAAATCGAAAAGACAACCAGGAAAACTGTTTTCAACAGAAATGTAGACTAGAGGAGAGTTCCGCGCGTGTGTTGTCAGGACTTTTGAGATAGCGAAACATTAATAATATTTTAGTGCAGATTAATCGTCGGGATGAATTTTAAAATTTAAAGCTAATTATTCCAGAAAACAAATTATTGGACTTGAAAGTCAAAATGATATGCAAACTTTAAAAAACGCTGCAATCGTTAAAATATATCTACGATTTACAGTTTAACGTTCTGGTGTTTTTAGTTTATTTAACTTATAAACAAACACCGCCCCGTCCCACCAAACATGCTCTTCCTGTCAGCCGTGAGGGCGTTATAATGTGACGGTCAATCCCACTATTCGTTGGTAAAAGAGTAGCCCAAGAGTTGGCGGTGGGTGGGGATGACTAGCTGCCTTCCCTCTAGTCTTTCACTTCTAAACTAAGGACGACTAGCTCAGATAGCCCTCGTGTAGCTTTGCGCAAAATTCAACACAGCACATTTCACTTTTCAGTTCCTTCTTAGAGAGAAACCACTCTTTATACTTTTTGATTTCCCTAAGATTCATTTTATACACATCTTCGAATTATAATTTTCTGCGTGATTTACTCTGTTCACTTGTAACCTAAAAGACAAAAATAACTCTCGTATCTTTTTTCTAGCATGATTAAACTGTTATTTTTCTCTTTCTTACGACCTTTCCATTTCCTGATAAATTATTTAGCGAGATCATCCCATCATGCGTTTTTCTGCCTTCGTAGTTGATAGGGAGTTTATCATGATTGTTGTAGTCTGATTTCTAAACCTTGATTAGGAAAACTTAATGAGTGAGTGTGTACTTGAGACAGACTGCGAGTTTCCCATAGTAGACTGTCATGGGTTTAATTATGGTTTCTACTAAGAACGTATGTGTAGAAACATCCATATTAATTTTATGATATGTTCTTTTATATTCAAGAATTTCTTTCTAGAACTTTCTCGAATGAACGTTACAACATTTTTTTTTTATCTATACACGTGGGCCAGCTACTATTGTCCTTCTGTATAGTTTTGATTTCAAGCTTCAGTTTGTTGGTTACCATGAGCTTTCTTTGCATACATACTTGAATATTACAACTTACGCTAGTTGTTCTTGGATCATAGATCTGTTTATTATCAACCTTTAACTACAATCCTCTTTGACAATGTTGTGTAAAGTAGCTTTCACACTTTTATGATGTCTTGTATGCTGTAGTATTTTCTAAAGTAAATCAGAACTGTTGTAAAGCATAAAGTTACATAGAGGGTTGTCTGTGCTGTGCCCAGATGTTTAGCGTTATAAGCCCTCGGCCTTACCAGTGAGCCTCCGGGAGGCGTTCATCAGAACTGTGTGAATATTAACTAAGAATACTGTCCATTCTAGGTTGTATCTTGTTTCTTTCTAGATTCGACTAAACATCTCGTGTTTATAATTTTAAGTGTTTCCGTTACTCACTGCTACATTCTCAATATGTAAATTGTAACGTTGATATTACACGTGTTTAAACTCCTAGGTATAGTTTAGAATTTAACTACCCATTATAGATATGAAATTTCTGTAACCATGTTACTTGGTAAATGTGAATTCAATTAATTATTCTTTTATTAATTTGATTATGCTTTAAATATAATCATTTCAATATCGTCGTCAGTCCTCTATATACTATATGACTTAGTTTTAGGGTTAACCTAATTCTTGTTAGTTTAACTTTAATCTTTCAGAGAGCGGGTTGGCTCTGTACTATAGCTCTGGATTTCGGAGCTTGCTAACCGGGTTCGATTCCGTGTGATACCACAAAATATTCCCCGCACTTTAAGCTGTGGGTGCGTTGTAAGAGTGACACTCAATCCCTTAACGTGGATGGTGAGCTTCCGACTGACTGCCTACTCTACTCTGGTCAATAGTTCAGAATTAGTCATAAATATAAAGTAAAAATACTGTACTCTATGTTTAGATGTAAAAATACACACACATTTAGAGCAGTTGTATTTTAAGAGTTGGCCAATAAGTCAACTGTATATACGCAAAGCCATACAGTGACATGCTCTGTGAATGTCTTACTAAAAGTTTCAACGATGGGAAACATTTACCGATAATGGATGTATCTGTATCACATATTACTTCGAGTGGTTATATGTCTGTAATACATGTTATGTCGGATTTATAAGCGTGAGACATTTCTAATTCAGCTTCAGTTGGGCTTTGATAAGAAATTTGTGTGTTGCTCGATATTTTGTGTGACAAAACATCACAATAGATCACGCTTCGCCGGCATAAGGCGTTATATACCATAATAATGTTTATGTATCATTAACTCTGTTTAGAAGAAACTGAAGGTGATGTAACCCTCACCAACAAAACATACACCTCTAAATTCCAACACTACTTTCTAACAATGACGAGAAAATGTGTTTCGTGTAATGGTTAACAGATTATGTGTTTACGGAGCGAAAGGTTGATAACTTACTTTGGCAATGCAAAGAAACTTTTTTTTTTTTGTATCACGTTTTATATATTGTTCAATCCACCTATGAAAGACCATAAATACACTTAATTTTTAGGGATTTTACAGTTTTAATAGGTGTGTCATACACAATTTTTAGCCGCTCATAGAATGGCTCCGAGTTTTTTGTTGTTTTTTCAAGTACAAACTTTTAGCGCATAGCTCCGTCACCTCTTGACCGATTTAATTATAGTTTGAGCTTAGGAGGTCAAACCCTTTCGATTGTTGTATTTGACCCTGTCCAAGGTCTTATAGATTAATTTAATCTAATCTTTCCTAAAATAATTTCAATTTGAGGGTAAACTGGTAGAGATCTTGATGAGTAATAAACTTAAATCTTAGTATTGCTGGCGCTTAAAAATATAGCTAATAAAAAAAAAGAAGAAGAAAAAATGTCTCGTACATTTATTTACTCTAATTCTGTCTAAAAGAATTTCAAGTATCGCGGCTATTGAGGATTCCGTCTTGCTTTTTGTAATAATTTGCTTGCTGGCCAAGTCTAGTCAAAATGAATAGAGAAATTAATTACTGATATAGAATTGTTTTTCGTGGAAAACATTTCTTCTTGTGGGCCAATTTATCAGACTTTCATACAGTTTTAACATCAATCAAACCTTATTCAGCTTTAAAATAATTTCGAATGAGGGAAGTTGGCTTCTCTAATTTTTGTATGGATGGGCACGTAATTGTGACAAAATTACCCGTTGTTTCATCTAAACCAAAAAGAATAGTAAACATTTAATGCATTTGAAGTTTTTAATTAATT